ATAAATCTGTGTCCAATAATTTTGTGTCCAATAATTTAGTGTCGAATCGATCGGTGTCGAATCGTACTGTGGTCAAACGGAACACGCCCGTAATATCTACACCGCGGGACTTACTTGATTTTGCAAGGGCTGGTCAGGCTTACGCCATGCACGGCGCAAAGCTCTCGCCGAATTCCCGTCCCCGGTCGCTGTGTACTTCAGCAACCAAATATAAAGCAGCATGCACGTGCCAGTGAGCACACCTGCGCAAAGCGCTCACAAAGTCGAAAGAGTTTGTTTCCCGGAACGAGAGCTAAGCGCTCCTCGATCCGAGAGATCCCCTAGTACGGTACGATAGATCTCTTTGATTCGATACGATAACGGTACAAAATTCTCTTATTATAGCTCCTCCGAATCGCTCACCCCTTGCTTTCGGCAGATCACTCGAAAATTCCACACCCAAAATGCCTTAGAGAATGGAATAGCGGTACGATAGAGTAGCGTGAAAAGTTAATACAGCCGCAGGTGATCAATAAGCGGTAATTAGTACGCAGGATGCGACACGTTATGGTAGCGTTAATTTCAGAAAACGATACTCGTTACGGTATTCGATACGATGATCGGTACGATACCCGGTACAGAATATGGCGGTCGCAAAACGATACACTAGACAAACACTAGTACACGCGAAACACAACGAAAGAACGAAATTGCTGCTTGGCGCTTTACTGGTACTCCAGGGCTTGTACTACTCAATAGAGTAATTACGCGACACGCACTTAGGCCTACAAATTAATACCACGTAGCCCCGTGGAATCCGATTATAGCCGCTGCCGAAAATCCGAAACTATGGCAAAGGTTATGTCCTTGCCGGTTTCAAAACGCGAAATTCAGCGACTAGCCTCGACACGAGACTCGAGTAACGCGGATTCGTGGCTCACAAATTAACGAAGACACCTCACCGTACGTCGTCGTCCTTCTCCATCCAACTGAATTGCCCAAAGCTTCGTTAACAATCGATCGTCGGGAGTGCNGTTAGTGCGTCCGTCCTGTTCGGTAGGTAGCGACCAAGAGAGCGAGGATCGAGATTGATTCGGGGTTGATGCGTTTGAGCGCGCTAGGATCGCGTAGGGTAGATCGCGGCGACCAATCAGGTCGCGAGGGGCGCCACATGCGACGCGATGCTCGCGCTCGGCGGCAGGACCCGCGGCCGCGAAATTCAAATCGAGTACCGGGCCCTCACTAGTGAAAATGTAAGCGGCGGAGATTTCCAAGCGCTGTGTTTCGCAAAAGTAACAGAGATGCAGCATGCAGTAGCGTAGCAGGGTAGTAGGTGCAGGTTAGCAGCGGAGGTTTGCAGCAGGCTTTTCCGAGGTGAAAGGAAGGTTGAAGCTGTTTTCAACGTCGGGTGTTCGCCTCGCTCCCTCGGCTTTTCCGCGCCAAGGTTTGCTGTCCTCGTTGCTGTCATCTCTTTCGCCGCTTATTCCCGAAAACTCACCCCTCTGGTCGTCGTGCGAATGCCTAGTTCCACGCACACTGACTCCACGCACACCTTTCTCTCTCGTTTTCTCTCGCCTTTATCCACAATCGACGGCTCCTGATATCTCCTCCAGTAGTGTGTTCTCGGTGTGGTAAGGCGCCAAGAGCATACAAAAAAAATACTAAGAATAAGCAACTATATCTATCGCACGCAAGCAAGCCCTGGAGGATCCTGACGCTTCCCAGACGTTTCGCACCCCCGGACTCCCGCAATCCTTAGAGCTTTTTGTAGCGAGGAAGGAGCGACGCGATGACCACGTCACAATATATAAACTTTTATATTGATTTTTTAACCGAAGACGTGCAAATACTGATGCACAACAACAACAACAACAACAACGACGACGACGACGACGACGACGACGACGACGACGACAACAACAACAACAACGACGACGACGACGACAACGACGACAACGACAACAACAACGACGACGCCGATAAGAACGACGACGACATAGACGCCGGTGAGAACGACGACGAAGACGCCGGCGAGAACGACGATGATAATGGCGATGATAATGGCGACGAAGACGCCGACGATGAGCGCGACGAAGACGCCGACAATAATGAAGATTCCATCGCGGAAGGTTAGAATAGTTGCATGTACATATAATTGTATATAATTGTATAAAATTGTGATATATAATTTGATATAATAAAAAAGAAATAAAAGAACCAATTAGCGATATAAATTAGGTAGACGCTTCATTTACAGTTAATTGAATAAATATGCGTTTAATATATATACTCGTTGTCCTACTTATTAATTTCCCTGTATAAACTTAAAATTACGCAAAGAAATATCACCTAAAAATAAATTTTTTAATTAATATCGAGCATAACTAAGGTTCATTAATATTGTGCATGTCCAAACGCGTTTTTCTTATGTTACGCGGTAGAAATTGACGCGATGAGAAAAGTCACACACTCTCAATATATTTTTCATTAAATTTGACTTAAATTTTTATTCTTATAACAATGTATTTACAACACCTTATATACAACACGTATATATATGGATTTAATCAAATGTAATTGAAGCGTCTGTCTAATGTATCAATAATTGGTTCGTTTACCGTCGTTTGTTAATCGCTTGTTAATATATTGAGAATTTTTGTATTAAGCTTTTTTTATTTACAGTAGACTACGGGGGCGGAACTGTAAATGTTGCGCAAAAAAATAGTAGTAAACAGGACAGCACCAACAACGAGCGCAGCAACAGTGACGTCGATGACACCGTCAAGCGTCACAACGACAGCAGTGCTATTCCCGCCACATCCGACAGTGCTGCCGATGACGAGAGAAGCAAACAAATCAGTGAAAATAATAATTATAAAAATAAGTAATGAATCCAAGTAAGGTCATAAACAAGCAGAAATGGGTGTTAGAAAAAAATATATATAATTATCAAAAAGAATTAACTACTACATTAGTAACTTGTACAACAAACGTTTCCACTTTTTACTTGAGTCATCTTTAGTGTTTTAACAATATAAAAATAAAATAAATACGCTATGCTGGTAATGTAGATGGAGGTGTTTTAGAAATGCAGTTTTCTTGTGAGTGTAAAATTTCATCCTCGAGTCCTAGATGAGGTGATAGATCTGTCTACAAATGTTGAGTTGGAATACACTGATATATCGAATATTATATACAAAACACAAATTACTCACTGGTAAAGATCTACGGTCGCACATTGAACAAGACGGGAAGACAACCGGTTTATATATACATGGATCCCTACTCACTTAGAAAAGTCATATGATAAAGGCGTTACGTTCGAATTTTAGAAGATTTAATTTTGTCAAGTAGATTAAAATATATGCGTCATCTAATAAATCCGTGTCATTATTTAAATTTAAACCGTGAGATTGTTCTTTTATATGTATGGTCTCTGAGATTAACCTTTTATAACAATTTGATTCGTGATCTAAAATACAAGCGTTATCCCAATTAAAAGAGTGGTTGTAATCGATTCTATGTTTAGAGACTACAGAGAGTTGTGAGGAAGTTTTTGTAA